CTGATTTGACGATCCATGTTCAAAATCACAATGAAACAAGCCAACAGTTAGGATAAGGAACTATATTACTTGGCAGAAATATTGTTTTACATAATAATATGATATAAATTATATTATATTATATTATAATATATTATATTACAGGTATTTACAGCCTACAAAAGGAAAATAACCAAAATCCACAACAACACTGGCCAAGCGCAAATAAATACAGTAAATAGGATGAAAATGACCGCTTCACATCAATATTACAAATAATATTTAGCAATGATCATAAACTATAAATATTATAATTATAATAAGATGTTATGCATAATAATGTAATATTATGTACAATAATTAAATATGATCTTTATATTGTTTAAAATTATTTACTTATTAACTTAAAATTCTGATTTGACAAGGCATGTTCAAAGTCATTGAGGCAACAGTTAGGATTATGAACTATATTGCTTGGCTTGTTTTATATATAATATAAAATTAATATAATATAATATAATATAATGATCATAAACTATAAAAATATTACAATTATAAATGTATTATATAAAATCTAATATGACGAGCCATGATCAAAATCATTGTAAAAAGAGTTAATGGATAGGAACTATATCATTTGGCAGAAATATTGTTTTATTTCACTTTATTTTATTTTATTAATTAAATATATAATAATTAGGCTGTAAAATACATAATAAATATAATATTCATAAGTTAACATAACCATAATATTATATCTGATTAGCGGTAGTGACCCAGCAGCAATTCGTTCTCTTCCCCGCACACATCAATGCTTCACACGCTCTTTCTCACGCCTCACAACCCCTTCATATGTGTACACACTGTACACATGGTCCGCATAATCAGCATTTTTTTCATTATAGCAAAAAGACAGGAGGGAAGAATATTTAAAAAATGTGATGGATGCATGGTTACTGCTAATTTTAAATGTATATATATATATATATATATATGCAATTTCAACAAAATATCATATACAAAACAATATGTATTTGCAGGTGAGCCTGTAGATTTAAACCAGAACTGATTATTTAAATTGAATATCCTTCAATTCCTAATGCTTTCCATTTACAAGCAGTTAGTTTTAAATAATCCCAATTTACATAAAAAGTCAAATAAATGTTTGATAAAGGTTCAGTATTCTTTAGTTACAGAAGAAATTTACTGTTATTTTCCTGCACTTTGTGCTAAGCATAATTTGTTATGTCATAATTTTACTGATTCTAGCATAGTGTACAGGGCCGTTTTAACCATTGGGCTAGGCGGGGCTGAAGCCCCGGGGCCCGGACAAGGAGGGGGCCCGTGATTGACTGTGGAGTAGATTGACTGGTCATATAGCGCCGATTGCCAAAGCCCCGCCCCTCACATATTAGAGCTATTATTTAGTGGAGCTTTTCCATATATTCCATGCATTACCTTTAGATTTTGTCTGTTTACTTGTCTTAAGTATAAGCTTGTTTTTACTTACGCTATAGTATTTTTCAGAGGTGGAACCAAGTCATTGTTTTGCAAGTCACAAGTAAGTCTCGAGTCTTTTCATTCAAGTCCCGAGTCAAGACAGACAAGTCCCAAGTCGAGTCCCGAGTCAAGACAGGCAAGTCCAAGTCGAGTTGCAAGTCCTCAGCTGTAAGATTCAAGTCTTAAACAAGTAATTAGTGCTTTTAGCCCAAATTAGTGTCTCAGTATTAATTACCATATCAAATTCATAGTAATTTATATCAGGAAGGCAGGTAGAATATGTTTGACATAGTTCAATTTCATGTGAGATGGGTGC